AAAAATAGCTGAAAACGAATGCAATTATTTTAGCCTTGGTATACTGTGAAAGAATTTCATTAGGAAAATGACTCCTAGAGCAGCACCCCTAAACACTCCTTAAGCAGACTTGCCTTAGTCAGCTTTTAACGTGCTCGCTGTTGGTGCTCCTCCAGCTCTGTTGCATTCATCACAAGTGCCAGTCTGTCCTCTTTAGCAGTTGTTAGCAGTGAATGTGTATTTGATCTCAGGTGTGCAGAAATAGCTGTATTAGCAGCACTGGATTATAACTCTAGACCTTGAATCCAGGACTCAGATCTCAGCTAGGAGATCGCAGAAATGTCTGGATGACACTACATTTACACTGAGAAACAATAGGAAGCATGGATGTGGGTTAGCATAACTGAGAGTAAGAATACGAGAGGTGTAAAAGCTGACAAGAGTGGCAAATTTCAAATGTGCCAATTTTGAATGCCCTGTCTGAGCACGTTATGACTCTTACAGCAATCACTGTAAAGTAAGTACAATTTGCTTTGAATTATTAAATATCAGTGAATTTTTTTCTCCTTTATCTTAAAACCTTAAAGGGATTTCCCCCCAAAAGAAATTTCTGACAACATTTACTCACTCTCATGTCAGAACATAAAAGATATTTTGAAGAATGTTGGTAACCACTTTCAGTGTACTTGTTGACTGAAAACACTCCTTGATGCATTTGTGAGTTTAGACATGAGTAAATGACAAAATATTAATTGTTCTGTGAAACATTCCTTTAAATCATCTGCAGAATTATTAGACTCATTTATTCCAGTCTTAGTTGGCTTCTCTCAAAATGTTGTACAATGTAAACTCATGCCGACTCTTTCCATTTGAAGTGGAATAAACACTGAGGCATTCAGGGATAGACTGATGACAGTGAGTTGGCCAGTAGAAAGGCTTTTTGCGGTCAGATGTTCTCACTGGAGCTTGTTATGATAGAACAGCTTGGCAATTTGTGCGTTCTGAAATTCCTCTGCGTGTGAATAAAAGTAGGTGTTGACGGATGGGCCCCTATTACATAAAACTGTACCATCAAACTACAATGGACAAGAAACGAGTGGAAGCCCATTCTTTTGGAAAGGTTTGTACAGATAACAAAGTCATCGATGAGATGCCTTTGCAAAACAACTATCAACTAATCAATACTCTCTAACAGCAAGACACAATATACATCTGAGATGATATAGTCACAGTTCAATTCAATGTGTAACGTTGATTCCAAAGACAAAGAACTATACATTTTCATGAAAACAAGCATGTAAACGTACACTATGCACACAAAATAATTTACTATTTAAAGGGATAGTTCATCTGAAAATGAAAATTTCTGCTATATTCACCCTCATTTTTCCAAACATGTATGAATTTCTTTATTCTGTGGAACACAAAAGAAGAACTGTTGTCCATATAATTAAAGTCAAAAGGGTCAACACAACACTGGACCCCATTGAATTTTACTATATGGCCACAACATTTTAAAGGGGTCATACGATGCGATTTCAATTTTTCCTTTCTCTTTGGAGTGTTACAAGCTGTTCGTGAATAGATAAGATCCCTAAAGTTACAAAGACTAAAGTCTCAAATCCAAAGAGATATTCTTTATAAAAGTTAAGACTCGTCCACGCCCTCCAAAAATGCCTTGTTTAAACACGCCCCCATATGTCTACGTCACTGTGTGGGAATATTTGCATAACACCGCCCAAATGTTCACGCAAAGAAAGAAGGCAACGCGTTTCAGAAAGGTGGCGCATAGAGGAGAAACAATAATGTACAGTATGTGGAAAATAATGTGTTTTTTTAACCTTAAACCACATTTCATTACACCAAATACACAAAATAATGTTATTTTTTAGCAACATCATATGACCCCTTTAAACTTTTTTAAATTGTTAAATATAAATGATTTTGTGTTCCACAGAATAAAAATATTTTGAGGTGAACACTCCCGACAATATTTGAATCTGTGTTGTGACCCCTTAAAGGGATAGTTCACCCAAAAATGATGAATGAGTTTGCATTTACATATAATCAGATGGAACGAATAGTATGCATATTTGGCATGCTGTCTGAGGGAAGGGCTTCGAGCTCGGAATTTAGCCCGAACCCAGAAAACTCCCCCATATCCCCAAGCTGAGAAAGAAACTCAGTCACACTTTATTTTAAGGTCCAATTCTTGCTATTAACAAACCATTAGCTAAGACTTTTGCCTGAACAAACTCCTAATTTGCTGCTTAATTGATAGTTTGTAAGGTAATTGTTAAGTTTAGGTATTGGGTAGGATTAGGGATGTAGAATATGGTCATGCAGAATGCGCGCTTTATAAGCACTAATAAATAGCCAATATGTTAATAATAGGCATGCTAATAAGCAACTAGTTAATAGTGAGAATTGGTGCCTATTGAAGTGTTACCAGAAACTCGTACAGGTTTCAAACAGGTGGAGAATGAGTAAATAACATATTTTTCATTTTAAGTCAGCTCGCTGGGCAGTGTTGCTAAAAATGCCAAAATAATTTCCTTGAATTAAACCTTGTGTGAAAATTTCATTAAACTAACAAACAAATTTATGTATTTGTGTCATAAACGATGTTTTGGCACACTCAAGCAGATATTCGCCATCTACAACTATGGGAAACATATCTGTTCATCAGGTGTGTTAATTAGGCCGAAGATGAGATACCTTCTGCCCCCTTCTTTTAATATTATCTCTCTTCCTAACCCTTGTGCTTTGTTGTCTGTGTTTTATCAATTTGCTGTCAATTTCGTGACCCTACAGAGGATAAGCGGATGCACGGTGTATACTTTTGCTTTTTGAAACGTTTTGCAAGCTGTTCTGCACACACTCGGGGGATTCCGCTCATGTTGGCCCAGCGACCCGTTTTTTCTGCATCTGTGTTACACCCTTTTAAGGGAAAGACATTCCCATTGGGAATTCCAAGAAACAATGTTCTGGACATGAGTAAGAGCGACAAACGTGGCTCACCCCCATGTTTCTCGTGCAAACACACCATCTGTCAAAAATAGAGATGAATAATAGGTTGACTCCTTCACAAACCATCAAAATCACTCCTTTGACGAACAAAGAGACAATCGACACAGGTTCCTTTAAATGCCAAATGCACATATTCTTTTTCAGACACACAGCATTGCCATTTATCTCATTTTATTAACAAAATAGCTCTGAACATGCATTTTCAAATCCAAAGAGAGGGTTCTCCAAAATTGGAAATAATTGTACATCGCTGGACAATCCAGCTTGGCACATTAAAAGCATTTTTTTCTCTCCCTCGTTTTTCAAACACAGTGACAACATTTATAGGAACACATACCAGTCAGGACAAACAAAGGTCTTATAAAACACATTAATGGCTTGATGATAACCAGGAAAGGGCAATAAATAGAAACGCATGCTTCCACATTCACACACGCTCGTCAGTAAGAATGCCATCAGACTTCATTGTGACCTGCTGAGAAGGCTTGCTTTCAAAGCGATGTGTCAAACTCTAAAGCAAAGTAGCTTACTCAGTTTCTTTCTCAGACAGCTGACAAAATACGAGAGAGGTTTTTCTTGAGGATCGCCTCGGCTAACCCTGACTCCACAAACGCTCACACATTAAACGTAAACACACTCATTGGTGCTCAGATGTGGGACAGAGGGGTCTCTTATACTCACTCCATCTGGAGCGCTCCAATATACAGCTGTTAGAAACTCCAACACACATCCACATAGAAAAGGTCAAAGTTGTTACATTGCAGAATCCTTTTTGTTTAGAGTTTTCCCATTGGAAATTGCCCTAAAACATTCCTATTTTCCCTTCCATGCAAAATCATATTCGATCATGTCTATGAAAAAAAGGATTCACTGAGCACGCTGGGAAACATATTTGCACTGATTGACTACAAATACAGCACATAGTTTGTTTTTACTACGATTAAAGGCAACAAAATCCTAAAAAAAAACTATTTTGTAATAATCAGATCATACGGGCACTGTTGAATAGAATTCTGTGTATTAAAAAAGCTAATAAAAAAATAAACCAAATCGACGTTTAAAAATACAAACAAGTCAAGTCTCGCTTAGAAACCACAAATCTAATGCCACAATCTTCAGCATCAATAAATACTGCCGAAATGCTGATATGTAAAGGGTTTTTCTTTTCTTTAATTCATTAATCAAATACTAGTCACATGCACTCATGCAATCACTCCCCGCCGCCTCGTCCTCAGCTACACGCAAGCGCACACACACAGGCATACACAATGGTGTTCTATGGCGTGTTTTCCTCAGTCCGCATGGCTGCATAGTAGCTCGATGTCTTTGTGACAAACAGTATTTGGTCTCTCATGGCAATTGTCACAAATTGAAACATCCTACATAAAGGCAAAAGTCTCACAAGTTGGAATGTGGCAGTAAGAGAGAATGGAAGACTCTTCACACAGTGTGTATGAATCTGTTTGTGTGTACCTTAGATATCTACATCGCATGATCTGAAGAGTGTCACTGTTAAACTTTCAACCTCCATTTGAACCAAGTTAGACCTGCTACTTGGATTGGCTATATCAAGTCTGTTAGAGCTAGAGGATGTTCCCATAAATACAGGTTCATAAGAGCAATACCAACAATACACAGTGACTTTCAGACAAGTCAATCTGAATGTAAAATAGTTTCATATGCACCTAAAAGTACAGAATTTCCACACTTTATGAGCAATGAATTTCCATGATTTTTCCCCTTAACTTATTCAGCATTCAATTACTGGATAAAGAATTTTAAAAATAATTTCATAATGACTGAACTCGCATTCAATTACTGGATAAAGAATTTAAAAAATAATTTCATAATGACTGAACTCACAAAGAGTAATTTCTATCTAAAGAAACAACCAAGAAAACTGAGCACTGAAATTAATTTACCTTTCTTTTTTTTATTAATTTCCTCTTTTTTTCAGGTCTGGAAAAACACTTTTAAAATTCGATGTCATTTCCAGGACCGTGGGGACCCTGTATATATTTATATGGCTGATAAGACTAGACTGCAAATGCTTTCTTCACCAGTAGGGGATAGTACAAGAACAGAGTAGGAAGTGGATCCATCAACGGAATATCCCAAGTCTTGGTGGCTAGAAAACTACAGAGATCTCAAAACTAAGAGAATCTCTAGAACTGAAAGACATTGCACTGCTTCCTCAAACACCCATAGCTATGAAAACATTTGCACTGGATGTGTTTGCGTGTTTGTAAATGTAGATTTACAGCTTATTTCACAGGACTGTTTGTTGAGTCTTGAAGACCACAGTGTACCACCACAGCATTGGTGTATCATTGCATTGTTATAGCTTGGCATCTTGATGCAAAATTTATTGTTTAACACTGGCAAAAGGAAGACAGCTGGTTTGGAATCGGATTGTAGCGTCATCACTCTTACGGAAGAATCCGATAGGAAGGCTTTCTCAACTCACTGAATAGTTCCGAACTTTGAAAACGGACGGGTTTTTTCTGGATTATGAGGGAATGTTCTTAGAGCTTGACGTAATCTACGTAATAAAGATTATTTTAGGAAGATCAAGAAATAGTACGAAAAAATCCATCTCATTCATGGAGTTTCTTTAAGGCACCGAAAGCACTTCAAAAAGATATACAGCATTTTTCGAATCACGTGTTTGCAGTCTTTGTAATCTGTGGGATGCACATGATATTTCGTGTCTAAAGAAACTTGCAGAAATGGATGATAGTGTGCACCACTGAGTGTAATGTTCAGGTGTGTGTGCAAATGTCAGATCCAGACAGATGGTTTGCCTTCTCCGGACTTGCTGCTGCTGCTGCTTCCAGCGCTCCCAGATTTTCCATGCTTGTACTGTTGCTTTCGCTCCTTCTGTGGTGCAGTGGTGATGTTGCTCTGAGGCTTCTCGTCGATGTCATTGGTATCGTTCATCTCGTCGTGGTTATTGCTAGCATGGTGCTGCAAGGTATAGGCTTGAATCGCCGCCTCTAACTGTATCACATCTTTGTTGATGGGAGGCGGTCTCGCCTCACCTGCAGACGGGAAGTTGTCCTCATTGGAGCCGTACTGCTGCTGCTCCTCCTGGGCAATGTTGGCACGGTTTTGCTTGCACGCCATCTTGGCGTTGCTCAGGTCTGTGTACGGCATCGTCTCAGGCTTCACCACAATGTTATACCCTGGCGGTGCAGAAGGAGTATTCCAGGAGAAGGGATAACCAACATAGTCTGCTTCTCGTACGCCGCCCCCAACTCCGCCTCCTGGTTCCCCTTCGCTGAGCGAAGGCCCACCTACTCCAACAGACACGCCCCCTGCTGCAAGCAAGCCGAGCTGGTACTCATCATCGGCGACTGATTCGGTTTGTTTGCGCAGTGCATCACGGATAGTTCCCACTCCGAGGTGAATCATTTCCCACAGGTTTAGCAGCAGGCAAAGGCAGCTGACACCATACATGATTCGGAGGAAGATGGTTTTTTCGGTGGGGCGTGAGATGAAGCAGTCCACATGGTGCGGGCAGGGTTTATCCGAGCACACAAAGATCGGTTCCACTCGAAAGCCATATAACAGGTACTGTCCCGCCAGAAAGCCTGCCTCCAGTGCAGAGCGTGTCAGCAGCTGTAACACATAAACTCGCATCAGACCATCGTCTTGTATTCGCCGGCGCCCATCGTGGCGGACTTTGGGTTTGGGACGCGGTGGCACCAGCTCACGACGCGTGTTGTCTATCTCAGGCACTTCATAGATCATGGGGTCGTCTTCGCGTTCCTCTTCCCCATCCTCATGTCCTGGCCGATGCTGCCGCGCACCAAAGTACATCTTTCTCGGTCTGCGCTGGGTGTATCCGCCCCCCGCTGAGTTGCTTGCGGCTGGAGCCCCGGCCCCCGCACCGCCCCTCAATTCCTCGTTGTGGGAGATCTTATTGGCCGCGTAGCCCATATAGAGCAGAGAGGGCATGGCGGACAGGATAATCTGAAAGACCCAGAATCGCACGTGCGAGAGCGGCGCGAAGGCATCGTAGCAGACGTTCTCACATCCCGGCTGGCCCGAGTTGCAGACAAACTTGCTCTGCTCATCGTAGTATATGGACTCGCCGCCCACCACAGTCAGCACGATGCGGAAGACAACTAGCGCAGTGAGCCAGAGTTTTCCCACCGACGTGGAGTGGTGCTGGATCTCCTCCAGCAGACGCGTCAGGAAGCTCCAGCTCATGACGTCTGATGACAACGGGGCAGACAGCGTCCCACACTGCACAGCTCACAGACTCTGTGGACAAACACAGAGAGTTTCAAATATAATTAAAAGTTACTACCTTAAAACAATTACATACAGTATGTGAAGCATAATTACAGTATTTTTAGTGCAGTTTTTGATGTGCACTGACAGTTAATAAAAGATATATTGTGTAAGAAGGAGTTTCATTAAAAACAGCCATTCTCAATATGGTAGACAATATGGCAGGAATGAAAGTCCCATCTTTTAACTAAAAAGGCCATTTAAAAGAACCAGATCTTTTAGAAAGGAAAAATGTATGATACAACCATTTGAATCTAAGACAACTTTTTATTTCATAAATGAAAATCAATAAATGGCCACTATTACAATTACTATTTTTCTAACTTAAATATTATAAACGAAAATAAACAGCATTTTAAATGCTACAGGCCTCACACCATTAAAGTATACAGTATGAAAAATAGATAATAATTTTGAGATTTGCTTAAGATTATATCAAGTGTTATTAAATAAAGTGTTTTTAAAGTGTATAAAATGAAAGTGTTTTTAAAGAATAAATTAGTGAACGTTAGATGACAACAAAAGTAAACAAATTAAGGAAATATGAAATTAGCACTATTAAATATCCAATAATTTTATATCCAAACAGATATGGTACCAATATATACCAATATTCATCCATATATAGTTCATTGTGTATTCTGCTAGATATATTGATCGATAAAAGGTCAACCTAGTGCTAATAGACTCAATGAACGGAACTCTCTCTTTCACACACACATACGCAGACACAATTACCTTGAGCACTGAGCCTGAACCACACAAATCTTCCCTGAGGGAGAACAGCTGTGGTGAGCAGGTGAGTGTGTGACCTCTCGGGTTTGTCTCTACTTGTTCGGCTTTTTTTTATTTTTATGAATGTTTGAATTTCTTCTACCAATAAAGCAGGTAGTGATTGTTATGACCATATTAATTCATCAATTAATTAATTAATCAATAATATATATATATATATATATATATGTGTGTGTGTATAATATATATATATATATATATACACACACATATATATACACCTTGCTACGTGTACTGCGTTCGGCTAACCGAGACTTGTCATTTGCACTTATATATTGTTGCTCTTTTGTTAGTTTTGACTGCTTTTATTGTCCTCATTTATAAGTCGCTTTGGATAAAAGCGTCTGCTAAATGACTAAATGTAAATGTATATTAGGCCACGTCTGAGCAAATACAAGGGAGATATATAATATTATAATATCTCATTTAATGTGCCCAAGTATATAGTATGCATGTTTGAGTGAAGAGAACAGACTAATTTATTTCTTCTCAAAGGTCACCGTTATCCAACTCAACAGGACCAGAGGGTCCAGGGCTTTCCTGCTCCTCCTGCCCAGAAGAGGACCTCAGCAGTGGGCATGCGCTCATGTGTACTAGCCCTTCACCTTTAATCTGTGTCTCACTATGCTGGTAGAGGCACTAGGGGTGAGGAACATAGACTTAGAACGTGACTCATACGCAGGGGTGTGAAGTAACGAATTACAAATACTCACGTCACAGTAATTAAGTAGTTTTAATCAGTAATTGTACTTTTTTGAGTAGTTTAAAAATTGTGTACTTTTACTTTTACTTGAGTACATTTTAAGATATTCTTCATTCTTTATGACAAACACTATAATGTGAATTACAGAATGTACAACGTTTTTTAAAATGTATCAATTGCGGTGTACAGTGTTTATTATGATGGGGTAGAATCCACAGCTCAGTACTCACTACTCAATACTCATGAGTACTTTTAAATAGGCTACTTTTTTACTCTTACTCAAGTAGTTTTTTGGACAAGTACTTTTACTCTACTCGCACTACATTTTTTGGAAGGTAATGGTACTTTTACTTGAGTATATTTTTTCAGTACTCTTTCCACCACTGCTCATACGTAGACACAGAAACAAAGTACACACACATACTGAAAATACAAAAGACGTACAGAAAACGAGAGGGATCCACTGGTCACTCTGGAGCATCTGTCCTTGAATGACTGCTGTTGCTGTTATGCCCCCATCATCTTACCATCACTCTTTTATTTCTCTTTCTCTATCATGCTCTCTCTCTCTCTCAAGGTTGAAATAGCACTCACTCCCAAAGGGAATAAAGGACTTTGTTTTGTATCTGTGCCTGTTGAACACGCTCACTCACACACAGGCTTTGGCCACAGGGACTCAACTAACAACCATAAAATAATATAAAAATGTTCCCGTGTGTGTATTAGACATGCTTGAACAAAGTAAATTGTGCCTCAGCATTAGTATTGTGTCACTTTTATGATATGTCAAAGGACTTTCTGGGGCAAGACATCCCTTTTGGTTTCATGCCAAGTTAAAAACAAAAATCTGTTTGTTATGCTTTAATTCATAACATTACTTAATAAGAGCTAAAAGTTATTTATTGCAAAACAAAACAATTATCAACATCATAGAAGACAGATAAAATTAAATAATGAAATGTCAACACAAACTCATAAGAGCTACTGTACTTTACCCTCTACATAATGAATAATAATCATCACCAGATATATTTCAATCTATTTTATTTCCAACATTTGGAGTCAGTGAGTTAAAAAAAATAAAAAATAAAAAATAAATTAACACTTTTATTTAACAAGGATGCATTTCCTTGATCAAAAGTGTCAGCGAAGACATTTGCAATGTTACAAAAAACTTCTATTCCAAATATATAACTTTTTTGTTTCCACAAAATTAATAAGCACAACTATTTTCAACATTGATAATAATACTTCTTGAGCAGCAAATCAGCATATTGATTTCTGAAGGATCATGTGACACAGAAGACTGGAGTAATGATGCTGACAATTCGGATTTGCTGTCTCAGGAATAAATTACATTTTATAAAAATATTAAAATTTAAAAAAAAAAGTTTACTTTAGTAATATTATAAAATATAATTATAATTTTTACTGTATTTTTGAGCAAATAAGTGCATCCTTTGTGAGCATAAATGGCCTCTTTTAAAAATGGTACAGACCCCAAACTTTCAAACAGTAGTGTATACGTTTTTTTCCTATACAGAGAACAAGCTCATGCCGCACAAAACAAAACATTTTGTCCTGAATACATTAAGGCATTCCTGGTATAATTGTTGATCCTATTCACTGATTAAAGCCTGAGTCCCCTGTTACTCATGTGGTTCTCTAGCTCCTCACACACGCTCAGTTCTCATGCCCTGCCCCTTGGCAGGGACAGACAATGTACAGATTCAGCAAAATGCCCCTATGACCATGTCAAAGCAAATCTATACCCTTCATCCATCCATCCACACTCCCTCTCTCTCAGTCTGCCATCTCATTTGTTTACAGTGTGTCCCAGCCTTTTTTGGCTTATGTTCCCAAAAGCCCCATTGCACCCCTTTACAAATTTTCAACCAGAAATGTGCTCTTTTCATTGCATAACATAGTGAATATCATTTAGTATTTTCATTAGTATCATTACAAGATTAGTTCACAAACAAACAAATCCTTTGACAGCTCCAATATTACTAAAACTGTAAATTTTAATAATATTGTTAGGATTGGCTGTATGATTCTGGTTTAATATTTGATGTAGTCCAAACATTAAACTAAAAACAAAAAAAAAAGTATTTTGCCTCATTATACCGTTCATTAAGCACTTTCAATATTATTATATGAATAGTTCACAAACAAATTTGAAAATTAAAACAGACAGACAGAGATGGATGGATGGATGGATGAATGGATGGATGGATAGATAGATAGATAGATATCCTTTGACAGCCAGAATTTTAATAATGTTTCATAGGTTTGGCAAAGCAAAATAAATCCCAAGCATTAAACCAGAAATGTGCTCCTCCTACCTCATAATATAATGAATATCATTTAGCATTTTCATTATTACATGAATAGTTCACTCTTAAATAAATAAACAAATGAACAAAATAATCCTGTGACAAAACTTACATTATTAATACACAAATTTTAGTAATATTGTTTTATGGGTTTGGAAAAGCAAAATGTAGCCCCTGCCTGGGATTCACTGGTTCACAGTGAACAGTGTCACATAACATAACACATGCCATATCTACAGAGACACAGAAGATAAAAGTCCCATCCAGTTCACAGAAATACTTGAAGTCAAATCAGGTCAAACAGCACTGATGTATTTGCCTGTTACAAGCACATGCTGTGAAAGTTGTACTCACACATACTCGACATTCTGTCTTTCCCTGTCTGCTTTCCCTCTTCTCATTTCTGTATCCTCCTCCTTTCTTCTCTTTTGAAGAGCAGCCTTGGAGATCAGAGACCACTGACCTTACAGCAGCACCAGAGACCTACACACACATACTGTATGCGCACACAAAGCGTGTGTCTCCATGAAGAATGCGCGAGGGGGAGACTCTCAGAAAAGCACACAATAGCCCTTTACCCCAAAAAACTGGGTCAGAGAGGGTTGTGGTTTGAGGAGGGGAATGTTAGGGTTTTGATGTGGGAGGCTGGGTGGGTTAATATCCCTGACGGCGGGGGAACATACAATGATGAGGGAAGAACAAGAGAGGAAAGCCAAAATCAAGGGTGATGTTCAGCCTGTAATAAGAAACCAGAAGATTTCCACAACCTCCTTCCTCAACACACACACACACAAACACAAAGACATGCACACTTGTCACAGATAAGCTAGTAAACAATATCTCTCCCATAACCTTATCGCCTACTTCCTCTCTGAAGCCCCTCTCTCTCTCTCTCTAGCACTTTCACAGCACACTGCTGGAAGGAAGGGAACTTCTTAATGCTTGCTCTTGTATTCATCTGCCCATCTTTGGTCATGGCTTAAATTAGAGCTTCCAGCGATCTCCAGCGCTAACATTCTTATCCATACCCTGTTTTCCCTTTCGTTCTTATCACTCCCCACTCTCTCTTTATGTGTTTCTCTCACAGTAAAGAGTGAGGCGAGATTACAATTGCAGGATTTCACAGCTACTTCCAC